TGTCCCGCCACCCGACTAGCTTTACCCGAAATAATTACATGGAAACTGTATTCTTTTAAACACTGCCTGACCCATTAGTTTCAGTTTCTTATTGGCTAGCTTTTTACATATTGATCTAACCCATTTCTATTAATCTGTGTAGCCCACGAGCTGGCTTACCAGGAATGATCTTAACCTGCGTCTGTCTGGAGTGGGAGAACCATGGCGACTCCCTGACTCAGCTTCTTTCTCCCAGCATTCCGTTCTGTTTACTCCACCTACCTAAGGGTTGGCCTATCAAATGGGTCTAGGCAGTTTCTTTATTAATAAGAAATCACTCCCACATCATTTCCCCTTTTTCTGTTTAAACAAAAAAGAAAGGCTTTAACTTTAACATAGTAAAATTACATATAGCAAAACAGTTATCAAGCAAGAATTACAGTTACAATATTTATATCTATTTTATCTTTTATCATAACTAAGGAAAATTATAACTATCTATTCATTCTTCAACTCCATCGAAGACTCCAGAAGGATATAATACTACCTAAGTAAACAAGAAATAAGAAAACTCTAGAAATAACAGAGACATCTCGCTGCCTGGACAGTCACCCAAAGTTCTTTTGTATGGTTGGGGCATCCATCTTCAGCCTTCAGGCCCATAGTATCCAGAAGACATTTCCATGAAGCAGGAAATTTCAAAGACAGTTCAGTCACTATCTGCTGTGTCCTGCAGAATGTCTCACAGACTCTTTCATGAGTCATGAACCCCAAAAGACCGTCTCACCTTTAGGCAAGTTCAGCAGTCCTCTCTCTGCGGGTTCTCTGTGTCCATTTTATGCAACAGTCCAGGCAAGAGCAGTTTCTTGCCCAAATGGCTATCAAACTCCATAAGGATCCTCTTCGATGCCCATCTTCCTCTCGAAGTAGATTGGTGCCACCAGGAGCAGATATGTCTCATTGTCATGAAAAGTCCTCAGTTATTAAAACATTAAATGCCATATTCTGCAGTCTTTGAAAGATAAAAAGAATGTCTATCTAACTGAAATGTGTCTCTATATATCTAGAAAATCTAACTAACATGACTACAAGCTTGACTATTATTGATGATTATCCATTAACCTATATTTCTTAATTATACATTACATTTTTAAATGAACTACACAATCACAATACCTTAATCAAGATCAGAAATACATATACATATAACAAAATTGACTGTAAAGTCCATACCAATGCAAATTACTCATACCTATATCATTTCCCCCTTTAAATGTAAAAGAACATTTATAAACAATATTTTGGGAACATGGGCACAGTTTTTTCTCTCCAAACTGCTTCCTGCTGAATGGGGGCGCTGTTAATCAGATCATTTAGGGTGTAACCTATGTGCCAGGTTTATCTCAGTTGGCAGTTGAGTGAAGTAATTTTTTGAGGGTGTTCACAGGAACTTTTCGGGAGGTCGTGGTCTATCATACCATATCGGGATAGATGCAATCCACAGGGTCTGGTCCTCTGTGAAAACAAAAGAAGACCCTTTCCAAAGCATCATATCCTTAGACCCAAATTCTGAAGTCATACCCTCATGATATCCATTCTGGTTTAGCTTGGCAGCCCATGTAATGAAATTTCTCTCTGTACTTAGCTCCTTCACAGTCAAAAATTTTAAAGAAAACACAATGTATATAATCCAGACTCTCTGTGAATTTTCCATTTTTATGTGGCTTATTTTTCTTTATTTCTTTTAATCACTTAACTATCTGTACTCTGTCTCTTTAAAGACTTTACCTTTTTTTTTTAAACCATTAACTTTATTCTCTATATTCTTTTTCTTCTCTCTCTCAAGCCTATGTACATTCATCCAACAGTGTGGTCTTTCATGTCTGAATCTGTTTTATTGTGAATCTGTAACATTTTTTACTATCCAGGAGCATTTCTTAAAATGTTAAGCAGTTCTTAAAAACTTAAGTTGCGCCATGTACAGGTAATACGGTACCGCCTGTGTCCTGCCCAGTTGAAACCTTAACTGCGCTGTTTTTATGGTAATTACGGTAGTTCCTGTCTGAGACCAGCACAGTTCAGCATGGCAGAGCTGAGCCAAGCCACTCCTGCCTCAGAGCCATTTGGTGCCCCTGAGCCACACACAGTTCCAGGCACACAGCAGTCCACATTGCCATCAAGCCAGCCGTAGAGCTTTACTCCAAATGCTCCATTTAAAAGCTCTGTCTCCCACAGGAGCCAGACAGAGATCGCAATGGGGGCACAGCCCAGAAAGCCGGCATTTTAAAACAGCCAGTTTTTCCTGCTGCTGAGTCAGGACAATTTCTTTGCGGCACGCAATCCACAAACAGCAAAAAGCTGTCTTAAATTCTCTCTCTCTCCTTTTTAAGCCCTCTCAGGTTTTACGTGGAGTTCATTAGCACGTTGGGTGCCACTCTGTTGAAATATGGAGCGGCGGGCTGTGTCCCGCCACCCGGCTAGCTTTACCCTAAATAATTACATGGAAACTGTATTCTTTTAAACACTGCCTGACCCATTAGTTTCAGTTTCTTATTGGCTAGCTTTTACATATTGATCTAACCCATTTCTATTAATCTGTGTAGCCCACGAGCTGGCTTACCAGGAATGATCTTAACCTGTATCTGTCTGGAGTGGGAGAACCATGGCGACTCCCTGACTCAGCTTCTTTCTCCCAGCATTCCATTCTGTTTACTCCACCTACCTAAGGGTTGGCCTATCAAATGGGTCTAGGCAGTTTCTTTATTAATAAGAAATCACTCCCACATCACAGACCTGTCTAGGGCTCCAGGCTGGCTGTTCACTGGATAAGGCTTTCTGAACCTTAACCTGCATAGTGCCCCTCCCGTAGTTCCCAACTGAGCATTAGTACCTTAAGGACCCTCGGTGCTGTCCTGCTAATTGTGGTCACTGTAAGTCATTGACCTACACCCACCTTCCCCATGTTTGCCCAGTAGGAGAAAAATGATTCTACCGAGAGACATTTTTCAAGTAATTTTACTAAAAGTGAGGAAAGGCTGAAGGTGATTGTGACATTTGCTGGTTGGATCTTTATTCCACAGTGTAACATCTGGCTATTCAGCCTTGCCCTGAGTTAACTAAACCACTGGAGGACAAAAGCAGATGAAATCAGACCTCTCATTTTTATTCCATTTCCTTAGACCACTGCTGGCACCGCACCGAGTTCAGATGCCAGTGCAGAAGAAGCCAGCCCCTCCTAAGCCACAGTCTGTGCCCATCCACTTAGAAACAGCAGCAGAGGTTCCAAGGCCTCTGTGTTGTTGTGGCAGCAATGGTGACCCTTGCTCCACTTGAGGTCCCCTGGTGATCCCTATGGTGGGAAGCGGCACCTTAATCCTCCCAACACCCAGGATATACGACCTGAGAACGTCACACAGCACTAGCTCTTTGGCCTACAGAACTCCTAAAAAAGTAGGGTGGACACCAAATTCAGAAGGAAAAAAAACAGGGAAATCTGAGGTCACTTCACAGACATGAGATACTTGCAACTGTGATGGCCACTGTGTGATGGACATTGTGTGATGGACACCATGTGGTGGTCACTGCATGAAGGTCATGTGTAATGACCATGTGATGGACACTGAGTAATGGCCACTCATTGATAGTCACTGTGTGATGGCCACTGAATGATGGCCATTGTGTGATAGACACCATGTGATGGTCACTGTGTGATGGCCACTGAATGATGGCCATTGTGTGATAGTCACTGTGTGATGGTCACTGTGTGATGGCCACTGAATGATGGCCATTATGTGATAGACACCATGTGATAGTCACTGTGTGATGGTCACTGTGTGATGGCCACTGAATGATGGCCATTGTGTGATAGACACCATGTGATAGTCACTGTGTGATGGTCACTGTGTGATGGCCACTGAATGATGGCCAAAACAGCACTTGCTTCTCTCAAGGCCAGATCCTGTGGTGGGAATAGAGAAGGACTGGACACCAGCACCAAGACTCAGGAAGCTGGCTCTCAGGGTTCCTGCGTCAGTGAGCTCAGACAAGGATGTTTCTTGTACTCTGAACATGTTCCCTAAGTCCTGAAATATGGAAAAACTCTTCCCAAAGCACTGTTCATGGGAACAAGGTCATGTTTGTGACCGCATCTCTCACTCTACCTGGCAAAGTCTAGGCACTCAATAAATAGCACTGAGTCTGAAATTGACAGGAGAAAATTAGAGGAACAACGCTAGCCAGGTCTGGTGACACAGGCCTCCGACATGTAGCCAAAGCAGGAAGAGAGTGAGTTCAAGGCCTGCCAAGGCTATTGAAGGATATCAGAGGCAGTCTGTGCAACTAAGCAAAATCCTGCCTCAACATAAGAAGTAAGAGGACTGGGGTGTGTGTAGCTCAATGGTAGAGTCTTTCTTGGCTTATGTGAGGCCCTGGGTTCAGTCCCCAGTACCACAAGAAAGAATTATCATCCAATAGACACTGAGTTAGCAGCCTGACCAGTTGGCTTACACACAAAGCTGTGAAGTCATCACAAGATGACTTGCCATGGAAAAGATGCTAGCAGATCTCCTCAGCATTCTCTCATTCTCACAGGGAGGAAGGATTTCCCCAGGAGGTGCAGCAGGCTTCATCCATTAATTTCATTAGGTACCCAGATCATTGGGTTTGACATTGCCAGGGCCTTTAGCAATTCGGACCATGGCTTCTGGGCTGTGCCCCTCCTTGTGGCTCAGTTCACACAGACCACGAACCATGTGCCAGCACCGAGTGTGTACATCGCCCTGTCCGGAGCTGTCCAGCCCTCATGGCACAGGGCTGGAAGTGAAGAAAGAGGTTCTCTGCTCTGGATCTGATCAGTTGGGCGGTTAGAAGCCCTATTTGTTCAGTGACACTGTGTGTCCCCATGGCACGGTTTCACTCTGTCACAGTTCCAATGGTGGCAGCTGGAATTGCGGGGCTTCCTGAAAGTCTGTGAGGGTGTTACTGTCACATTTGAGACAGCACAGCTTCAGCTGTTACCTGATTTAAATTCTCAATTAGATTGGCTCTCAAGTAGATTCATTTCCACCATGGAGGAGCAGCTCAGGAAACATCCAAGGCAAAGAAAGATCTTGTGCTCTTAGAGACAGCATAAGGAGGAAGACAGTTAAAATTTGTCTTGCAGCAGATGCATGAAGATGCCCTGAAGTGTCACAACCTAAAGGTGATGAGATATTCTGGGTATGCGTGATTGTCATAGAACACTACAAACAAACTTGGGCTTTTATCATCATCTGTGACAGTGTCGTACAAGTCAGTAGGATTTTGAGGGTCCCTTGGAGGAGGCACAATCAATGACGGGTTTCCCTTTGTGTAGTTTCCAGTGAGAACCCGCACGTAATACATATACTTCTTCCCATTTGCATCTGGTCTGGAATATTTATCATGAGCTGAATAGGAAGCATCGACAGCAAAATAGGTTCCTTTCCCATAATACATGGCTGCAAAGAGAAAGACATATCAAAGGAGTTCAATGTAGCATATAAATCAACATGTTAGTCCACTATGTCAACTAATGTAAAAGGAATGCTTGGCTTGAATATTTAAAACATTTTCTTTATCATCATCATTATTATCAATTTTCCTCCTCAGAGGACATATAGCTGTTTATTGCTAAAACTGACTCTACTCTGGCCACCTCAATGTGAGGAACACAGTGAATGGAGCCCAGGGTGGTTCTAAGTCAGCAGTCCATTTGGGGAAACTGACTGCATCCTTCCTCACCGTTCTTCCCAGCATAGCTGCGGTTAAATCCATGGCTGTTGAGGTGTAGAATAGAGCTAGCCTCCGTCCCATGGAAGAGCTGTTTCTCATTTCTTCCATGGCCATTCTTTTCATCCATGATTTTTTTGTTTGACTGGTACTTCTTCCAGAGAGCTGGATTTTGGATCCTTTCGATCTATAAATTAATAAAGTATTAAGTTATTCTGAAGATGCCAATAGCCCTTGCCAAGTGATACCAAATTACCATTTTTGTCTTTCTTTTTTCTTTTCTTTTTCCTCTTTTGGTTTTTTGAAACAGGATTTCTCTGTACCTTTAAGGCCTGTCCTGTAACTAGCTCTTGTAGACCAAGCTGACCTCCAACTCACAGAGATCCGCCTGCCTCTGACTCCTGTCCTGAGTGCTGGAATTAAAGGCGTCCACCACCACTGCTCAGCATCTTTGTCTCTCATAAGTAAAAATAGTACTCACACAAATTCAGTGCCAAGTGACAGATTCCCATGTTCAGAAATATTTTTAGGACTGTTAACACAACTTAGTAAGTATATGGTGACCCGAGTTCAATCCCTAAAGTTGGAAGGAGAACACTGACTTCCACATGGTGTGAATGTTACCTTCCCTCTACCCCCCCTCCACACACACACACACACACACACACACACACACACACACAGAGAGAGAGAGAGAGAGAGAGAGAGAGAGAGAGAGAGAGAGAGAGAGAGAGATACAGACAAGGCTGTCTTCCTGGCCTGGAGTTAACACATTATGTTGGGTTGGCTAGCTAGGTGCTACAGTTTCAGAATGTTGTAAGCTACCTGATGTGGGTTTGGAAAGCAAACTAGGAACTTGGGGTCCTCTGAGAGAGCAATACAAAATCTTGACCCACAGGCCACCTCTACAAACCCATATATGAGTGGATTTATTCAGGAACATTGATTATACCAATTATATAACTATGTATCTTTTCCATTAGAAAACTCAACAGCCAACTTACGTTCTCTATGACAAACTTTTGGCAGGTCTGGTGGAACTTGCTTGCCACCGTGATATACTCAGGATCACTGGTTTGCAGACTGACCACAAACAATTTCTTCTGCCCCATGTCACTCCAATTTGAAGGGATTTCAGCTGCAAAATAGACATTTGAGGGCTCCTGTGTACATTTCCAGTATGCTTTGACAAAACCTGCCTCCCTGTTGTATTATAGTCTCATAATTCTATGTATTCAAGAAATTTCTTATCTTTCTAAAAGGATGCTGTTAAAAGTGTGGAACATGGACCATTGGTATCAGGATGAGATGGAAAACTTGTTTAGAAGATGTGGGTGATTTAAGGTGAGATAGAGCAGTGGTAAATCTCTTGCCTGACACATATGAGACTTGTTTCCCAGCACCCTCTCCAGAAGAAGACAAAAGCCATCCATGTCCTGAGTTAGGGTTTCCTAGGGATGGAGCCTCTCTGTCTACTCCTGTTTCCGTCTTGCTAAGGTGTGAGAACTGACTACATGTTGTAACTCACCTTCATTTAGTGCACAGCCTCTACTCTGTTGTGATTTAACAAATTCATTACTAACTTGTTCTGAACAATCTTTGTCATTTGCACATGCATGAGTTTGTACCACTGGAGGGTAGTCTACATGTATTTTCTCATTTGCCTCACTCCATCCTTAAGAGGTAGGTGGGTGGGTGGTAGGGTTTATCTGTGGCAGGCTATAGAATACCACATATGATATGTCATTTCTCCAGGTGTGCTTAGAGTCTGAGGGGTTCATCCATACTGGTCCTGCAGAAGATGAATATAGTCTGTGGGAAGCCACAGGGGACTCATGTGGTTTGAAGGCAGGAATGACAGCCTACACAGGACAGCCACTCCCTTCCTGGGGATCAGACCCACAGGGAACCTGAGGGCTGCTTCCTGACCTGGTACCCAGGAACCTTTGGCTCAGGAAAGAGAAGACAGGAATAGAATTGGGGTCTTCCCTTGATCATCATCATAGACACAGTGGCCGACTCTAACAAGTCTGTCCTCTACTTTACTTTTGTGTTCTTGAGAATCTTGGCTGCTTTTCTTCTGAAACTACTTTTTTCTACCTCTGCCTCAGGCAGCCGTTATCTCACTAGAAGAACTGATCCAGTATAAACTCTCCATGTGGAAAATGCAAGATTAACTATTGTTACAGTTAAGATAGTTCTTCTTGGGTTGTTGGGTTCATCCATGCTCTATTTCCCTGGCCATAGTGTATGCTCTGGAAACTTAGAGACCAAGATCTTTAAATCATTCTACTAGGGTTATTTGAATTTTATTTATTTTAAACTTTAATGTAGTAGAGCATGGATGGGTCATGCCTTTAATCTCAGCTTTTGGGAGGCAGAAGCAGTAAATCTCTGAATTTGAGCCTAGCCTGGTCTAACTTCCAGGTCAGCCATGGTTACATAGTGAAACACTGTCTCAAAAAACAAAACAAAAGAGTTCCAGACCAGCAATGGCTAAATAATAAAACTATGTGAAAAACAAAACAAGCTGACTGGTGGCTGCATTTGCCCTTAATAGCAGCACTCAGGAGACAGGATCTCTGGGAGTTTGAGGCCAGCCTGGTTTACAAGAGCTAGTTCCAGAACAGATAGGACTGTTACACAGAGATATCCAATTTTGAAAAAAAAAAACCCTGCTGTGTTTCTAAAATACTACTAATCTCCCTGCTGTGTTTCTAAAATACTACTAATCTCAGAGTTTAAAGTTAGCAATTGCTGACACCCACGAGCATGTAACTTACCTTCATCTTTTAAGATGCGCTGAACTGTGACACTCTGTCCTTGAGGGCCTGTGGCCGTGTTCGTCCTCAAGTTCACTGTGAAGTCCTGATTATTAATTTTGACAACAGTGCTCTTGTGCTTTGCCTGCCGTGCTTTCTCCAACTGCATGTTAGTTATTTTGTCGAAACAGTGTAGGACGTTGTTGTCAATATATTGCCATTCCACGAATGTGAGGACATAGTCTGCCTGGCTTTCCTTCTCTTTAGCCAATCGGAAGCTCTTGATCAGGTTTTCAATCTCATCTCTGGCTTCTATCACATCTCTGCTAATTCCTGAAACTTCAATCAAAGGCGCATTCTGGTCCAGCTCAATGACGATATTCAGCCTCTCCTGCAGCTCATTCAGCTTCTTGTACTCCTTCTCACCAAAGTCTCTGACACACTCATCATCACTGCGATAGGGTAGCTGCTCCTGGGCGATCAGATTCTGTATCCAGGAGATCGTGTGTTCCACACTGTCTTCATCTATGCCACATACCTGGAAAACTGTCTGCTCTATTTTCTTATCCCAAAACAGGGTCTTCTGTTTGTGTGGAGTGTGCTTTGGAAACTCAAAAAAGGCTAAAGAGAAAATGAAAATTAATTTTCCTTTTATTCCCTTGATCATCAAGGTGAGGAATATGTATTTGAGAAAAGCAAACAACTCACAGGTAGTCTTAGACAGTAGAGACGGCTGGGGAGGAGCCTGGGAGCCTTCTCTGTCTTTCATAGTCTTATAAAAAATTTCCAGAATAAGAGGATGGAAGACAACAACTTTGACTTTCTTCACAGCCTGCACTGATGTTTTCTGGATAAATTCTTCAATGGCATCCATTATGGATTTAACAACTAAATATGCATCCTGCTGAGCACTTCCTTTAAACACATACACACGAAGAAAAGATTAAGATTCACCTTCAAAAGGCTGTTACACACACAAGGAATTCCAGATGTCACAGGAAAGAAAATGCCTAGCCCCACTTTAATCGATGTCTATACTTCTAACACAACATCATCAAACAGTTTTGACATCCTAGACACAGTGGGGAGAAGTTTCTATTCCATGCTGTCCGAAGGTCGACACTCCAGGACACGACCCTGAAACCTGTTCTGATTTGTGACATTTACATTTTTCCTTTTCAGCTGATCCTGGTTCCCAGTATCACTCCCCTCCCAGAGTACAGGTGACTTTGCCCCTTGATTTACAAGAGTTTTCAAAGATCGTAAAAGGTGGGAAATAAAGATAATACACCTTGAAACAACATGGTCCTTACAGAGACAATCTGAGTCTCTGATAGATTTTATGCACGTGTTGAGATTCAGCTAACGCTGGGGACCCGATTTAAACTAAGGTAATTCTAAGGCACCCAAAACTGTAAGCTACTTGTTCTAGTCTATAATTCTAGGCCTATTAGTTACCCTGACCCTCCAGGATGTCTTTCTTCCCCATGCTCTGTACCATTTTAGCTCCCTAGCAGAATTTGAATCATCACTGAGTAGATCCACTCCTGTCTTCACCATGTTCAGATCTTGTTTCTCAAGCCCTGGAACCCACTCCAAGGAAAGACTGTGGAGTAGCCCAAAGTGAAAGGCAGCTGCCAAAATCACATGACAGGCAGTGTAAAAGTCTCCTGGGAAAGATGGTTTGATCAACTGAGAGCCCATCTGGATTATCTCTGTTAATGGTGCTCACCACTGGGGCAGGAAATTACAGCAGATGCCTTTGACTAACCTTGAAGACAACAATTGTGGGGACAAAGTTCACTCCTCCTGCCCATGTCCTTCCCATCATTGGGACCACAGGTGCACATAAATGCACCCTGCTCATTTTCCTCCTTCTACTTAAAGAACTCACAGGCTTTGCTCATTCCCTAGTGGATGGGGTGCCTTGGAGTGAGGAAACTGTCTACTCCTAGGAAAGGTGTCCCTGTCATCACCCAGACCCAGTGAGGACCAAATCCATGGGAAAGTCGAAACTTTGGGATGGAGCCTTGACAGCCTGTGGCTACGGACCTGCACCAATGGCTGGTAGGCAGATGGACGAGTAGTTCCTTTGTTCACATTCTTCCAAAACACAGGAAACTGATCTCTTCACGTCATTCCCACCATGAACGTGAATAATACTCTTGCATCTCAGTGATCCACCTTCAGTAACTATATACTCCCTGTTCTGTTGAGCTGTGAAACATGAGCAGATCCAGAGTCAGACGCTGACCTGCGCTTGGAGAAAGCCAGATGTCTGATTTCACAAGGAAACATTTTATGAATTAAATGCTCATGAAATACTACGTATCATGAAATTTTGGGTTTAATTTCTCTTAACTGTAAGATAACCTTCCACTTTTAACTTTCTTTTGTATGGAATTGTTTCATAAAATATATGATCTTAAGATAAAAACATGGGTCTCAAAACAAAACAAAACCAAAACAAATTAATACATTGTCCTTCCAGCCCATGGCCCTTCCTCGGTTTCCTCACAGCCTCTGACAGTTAATTTTCCACTTCCAATCCAGCTCCAAGAAGCAGCATCGTTCCTTACCCAAGACAGAACATTCCTTCTCCACACTTGGTCCTGCACTCTCCAAAATTGCTTTGGAGACTCCTACATGAGAAAATCAAGACAGTGACCTGACCAGAAAGAAGCCTTTGTGTCTCAACACACCCCATCATACAGCAGTAAGGACAGAGAAGAAAATTTCAAACATGTTGCCAGTTGTAAGAAAGCCCATTGAAATAACTTTAAAGATATTAGGTAATAGGAGCAAGCCCAAGTCAACCAACCATTTTGTCTGTAGAAACACTTCTTCATAGGATCTACCACACTGATTACTGCATGAGACAGAATCCATCTCACTAAGTACCTGATTTGAGCGTAAATGTGTTTGATGTTGAATTGACAATCACATCTGCCACTTCTTTGGTGATGTCCCCCGTGGCCACTTGGAAGAGGATTGGGCCAATATTCATTTCATGCACTCCTAACGTAGGGCTGGAGAGACTCCCATAAAACCCTGCCCAGAGGAAAGAAAAGACAGAATTAGGCACCAAGTCATCAGAAGCAAGAACAGCTGAGGTGGCATGCTTCCCTATCACTATATTGGCTGCCATTTACTGTGGCTCTGGGCCTGGGCTGGGACAGGAGGATGGCTTGAGTTTAGGAGTTCGGGGCCATCCTGGGCAACATGGCAAAACCTTGCTTCAAAACAAAGCTCCAAACAAGATGAACTCAGAAAGAGCAAACCACATGTGACAGAGAAGTGTTGGCTTACATAGTCTCTTAAGGTTTCTCTTGGGAAATACATGTCAAGTGGAGGTGGTCGTCTCATCAGCAATTTAAAAATGCCATTATACTGGTTATATAATCTGGTCCCTCTTTCCCTTTTGCCCCAAGTCGCATAAACAGACCAGTTTCTTTTATACTCACATGCATGGAATATCATTTAATATGTTCCATAGTTTGACTTATCAGAGAAATGATCACCATCATCCTTTCCCTGTCATCGAACAGTTATTTGGTAACAAGAAATCACTGGTCAACTTAAACACTTTACTGTACCTTGGGTGTCACTTGGATTTCCATGAGTCCTTTTGTCAAATTCATCTGAAAATGCCTGGAAACACAAACACAATTTTGATCATTATATTCTCTATATGATCAGTGAGTTTGCATCCTAGGGGCTTCTGATTCTGTATGCACATGTAGTGATGTGTATAGTAAAGACATTGTGCCTGACCTTGAGTGACATGTTTCAGTAAAGCCTTCGCTAGGTTTGGGTTGATCGGGGGTAGAGGCCAAAGAATTGTTTTGAGACTGTTTAAACCTTGAAGAAATGTTTTCTCTCTGGAGACTACACTTGGTGCTCTGTGAGAGCTTGTAGCTGTACTGACCTTCATCTGAAGACACTCCTGGAATCCTGGGGTTTTTACTTTTGATTATTTCATTTCATAATGTGTGCCTTGTCTGCTCTCACAAGCAGGAAAAGCAAGATGACTACAGTAGATGGAACTTTTCCCAGACACTATTAACCTTGTATGTGTTTAATAATGTAACTAGAGTGAGCTAGTTGGGTGTCAGTCTCTTCCAAAAAGGCTGATACCCCTTTTCTCCTTTGGAAAATGAAGGCTTAGCATCTTAGTGAGCATGTCTCTCTACTGTGGCACCTATAGCCAGTATCAAACCATATACATACACATGATTAGAAAGTAGTAATCCTCAAACAGTAGTATTTAATTTACTTCTATATTTTTACAATCATAAAAACGTACATATTGTCTGGGTGGGGGTGGTACACACTTTAATATCAGCACTCAGAAGGCAGAGGCAGGAGAATCTCTGTGAGTTCAAGTCCAGCCTGGTCTACAAGAGCTAGTTCCAGGACAGGCTCCAAAACTACAGAGAAACTCTGTCTCAAAAACCCAAAATACACACACACACACACACACACACACACACACACACACACACACGTGTGTATCTATATTTACACATAGATATTGTTGGGCAGAGGTGGCATAGACCTTTAATCCCAACAGTTGGGAGACTGAGACAGGTGAATCTCTCAATTTGAGGCCAGCCTATGCTACAGAGTGAGTTCCAGGACACCTAGGTCTATACTGAGAAACACTTTCTCAAAAACAAATGAAAGACAAAATATACATACTTTTCCTACAAATGTGTCCTGTAAAATAGAGGTGTAAACAAAGTTGTAAATCCTATTAACTAGAGCGATGTTTAAAATCCAATAGAGGGATAATTCTGCATTTCCACACACCCATGTCTTAAAACAGTAGCCAATAAAAATTATATTTTCAAAGACTAATGGGATGTAGAAATGCTAATTTTATCCTTTCAAGTGGAAAGGATATTAAATTGCTCATTTACATGATCTCATCTAAAACCATACAGCAGAGGCTTGAGTCTCCCTATCTTTTCATTATTTGGGAAGCGTTGTTCTCTCTCTCTCTCTCTCTCTAGGGTCTAAACAAGGCTGACTAAAAACTTTCTGCATTTTGTGCTGCTCAGTGTATGCTCTTTAAATGCGTTTCCTTCTTAACCAAACAGCCCAGAGAAGCTGCACCTAGAAGCCGTGTTCAGACCTTCGGCTCCTGCTCTTCAGTCTCTGTCCCGGTATCCGCTCACAGGCAACTCCTTTTGTAAATGTAATTTAAGTTTGAAAATCTTTAAATCTTGAGAGTTTATCATGTTTGGAGTGTAAATAATAGCATTTAAATGTGTTAAAGGTGTTGGTGGAGACTCATCCTTTTCATATATCTGCAGAGTATTTTATGTATTAAAGAAAATGAGACTAACCTGAGCCTTTAATCCCAGCACTAAGAAGGCAGAGGCAGTAGGATCTATGAGTTCACGGCCACCCCAGTTTATAGAGTGAGTTCCAGAACAGCCAGGGCTTACAGAGAAACCCTGAAGAGAGAGAGAGAGAGAGAGAGAGAGAGAGAGAGAGAGAGAGAGAACAACGCTTCCCAAATAATGAAAAGATAGGGAGATTCAAGCCTATGAGACAGGATTCATCTCTATTCATGTAAACGTTGAAGACATTCATATCACACAAAAATCTCAGCACCTCCACCTCCTGTTCACGTTGTGTACAGAAATCTAAACTTCAAAAGTAGTGATGATTTCTAGAAGGGAGAGCATGTGCTACAGAAATGCTCACATCACCTTAAATCATGATGTCACAGGGGAGCTATTTAAAACTATTAATAGCTGAGCAAGTGGATACATACTTATATTCCCAGTATTCTGGAAGCTGATGCAGGAGGATTGCCATGAGTGTGAACAGTCTGGACTGCTTAGCAAGATCCTGTCTAAAAATAACCTAAGCAAACAAACAAACCTCACTATGCTTGTTAGTCCAAGCTGAAGGAGTTGGCTGCCAGATTAGAATGTAGGATCTCTGTGATTGCTTCCATGAATTTATAGGAAGTGTCTAGATCTGGACAATAATGACATAGGACCTAAAAATTCCAACAGCCCAATCCACAGGCATCTGTGGGCTGTCACCTTACAGTGACATTGTGGAAACTGTTCTAACACTAAGGCCATGTGTCTACTGGATTATAAAGACATGGAGAACAGAAATCAGACCACATTGCCGTAGCTGATGTGAACACTGTGACCGAGGATGATTCTAGTATTTCTGGTCCAAGTGTCCTAAGTCACATGGGGACGTGTTCAAGCCACATCCTTCACTCACGATTAATTACATTTCCAGAAATGGTGGCCGGAATCACCTGCATCCCATCCTGGAATTTTCAGATTGATTATGCCATAAATGTGCCTTGATATTATGTATTAACATTTCTATGTCCATAGGAGAGGCAAACTCATAGGCTAAAAAAAAAACAATGGGTATTACAATGTGTCAGCCTTACTTATCTGACTCTATAATGGGTATTACACTGTGTGAGCCTTTCTTGCCTGATTCTATAATGGGTATGACAATGTGTGAGCCTTACTTATCTGATTCTGATCCAGACATAAGGATGGAGAGATGGAGAGGCATTCATGAGACAGCTGTAACCTCACACATTAACTCTATCATTGACCACATGAAGGAATGACTGCATTTCAAGGTGTGTTTTAGTGGTAAGGTTAAGTTCAAAATGAATTGGTGAATTGTTTAGAGACAGATCTAAACAATCATGTGTCAGCATTATATGTGAGAAACAGATCAAACTCCCACCCACAGAGCAATAGCAGTTGAGGCTGAAAAACAGATAGATAGAACTTCATTGGGTTGGTTTATGGACTTTTGTGGGTGTTTGAAACTTTCCCAAATAAGAAGTGATTTTTTTCTGTTTCTAATTTTTCTTGAAATTTGTCATGCTACATATAACCAGTCAGCACACTCTCCTGCACTGAAAACACATGAAACAAACCTCCTATTAGACCAAGAAGATGCAAAAGAACACAGGTCCTGTACTGCAGTTGACAAAGAGATCAGAAGCAAGCCAAATCTGTACCTGAATGTTTTCTTCGTCTTTCGGGTGCAGCAGAAACTGAACTTCCTGTAAAGTTTTCAGTTGATTCTTGCTACTAAATTTGAGCACTTCTGAAATTATTAATTTAGCAAATTCGGGTTTAGGAAACCCCAGATTTCCTGTTCCTATTGCTGGAAATCCAATTGATTGTAGAGACAGTGCCTCGGCGGTTCCTAGACAGTCTCTGATGATGTTTGTCATGATCTGAAAAGCACAAAGCACTTCCTTAAATGTCTTCTTTAGAATGAGGAACCCTAAAAAGTAAGCACTCAGCAGCTTGTCCTGGGAACACTGTCCACTCTATTGTGCTTTCAACAAAAGTTAGCAGCAGTGTGAGGGGGAAACTGCGGAGAAGAAATGAGAAAGAGAACGTGGACACCCTTACAAGAGCACAGACTCACTCCACCATAAGCAAAGAGGGGAAGCCACAGCTGTCCCAGTTTATCACTGTTTCCCAACTTCAAGCTCTCACCTTACCTTTCCTCAATAAATGCAGTATATTCCCCCAACCCTTCCCTGACCGTCAGTAATTGCTGAGCACAATAACTAACTTACATGTCTAACTATATGAACTATGATCTACAAGAATTCATCTACAACTGAAAATAAATGGCCATGGTATGGGACCTGCCAATTCATGATGTTGTCCCAGAAAAGAAGCAGACAGGGACTAGCTGTGGTGTGCTGTAGGGGAGTCCAGAGAGCTACCCCATGCCCTGGAGAATGTAAAGCTGGGTCCTACCTTCAGTGACCATGCAGTGTCGTTGAGTTTCCACTGTGGAGCGACCACATGAAATACGTGGTGGCAGTTCAGGTTACAGCCACTGGTTTGTAGAATTGTGCCTGCCTTGACAGAGACCCCTTGTCCTTCTTCATTCAGTTCCTTCTGGAGTTTTGGCCCGGCCTTTTCTAGTAAGGCCTTAGAAATGTGTCCTTTGTTGAGTGAAAGATCCGTGTGAATGGAGTTGATGATGACATGGGTCTTAAAGACAAAACCAAAGAAACTTTTCAAATTTTCAGTAAAGGCATTCATCAACCATGACCACATTTTGGATTGGGGCAATGGTTTGTATTCTCTCAGTTATAGTTTAAATAAACGCTGATTGGCCAGTAGCCAAGCAGGAAATATAGGCAGGACAACCAGATAGGAAGTAGAGGTGGGTCAAGGGGAACAGGAGAATACTGGGGAGAAGGAAGCCCATTCCTCTGAGGTTGTGACCTTGTCACAGAAGCAGCAAGATGTGACTGCCTCGATGAATAGGGTACCAAGCCATGTGGCTAACATAGACTAGAATAATGGGCTAATATAAGTTTAAGAGTTAACAAGAAGCCTGAGCTAATGGGCCAATTAATTTATAACTAATGTAGACCTCCATGTGATTTTTTTTTGGGACTTAATGACTGCAGGAACCAGGCAGGACAGAAACCTTAGACAAGAAACCTCCAGTCAACAACATTTGAACCACTGGGTTTGGCCAAAGGAAGGAAGACAACAGTTGCTTGTACACATTTGGTGATTAATGTTCAGAAAAAGAAAACTCATAAAAGTCAGAGTGGAAACAATTCTAATGTCCATTGGCTAATGGCTGGGAAAAAGAAACGCATCTTCATTTAATAGAATATTATGCAGCCACTAAGAGATATGAAATTCTGACATATACTACAGTCCGGGAAACTCCTGAAAGAATTACCGTCAGTGAAAGAAACTGGTCAACTATATTATATGAAACTCAAGAACAGATTTATTTGTAGAGCCAGGTGTGGTGTCACACTCCTTTAATCCCAGCGCTCAGGAGGCAGACACAGGTGGATCTCTTGAGTTTAATGCCAACCTTGTCCATATTACAAGTTCCAGGACAACCAGAGCTGTGTAGTAAGACCCTGTCAAATAGAAAATTAAACAAACAAATAATAACAGAGTAGATTAAATGTTCTCTAGAACTAGGAAGGTGGGATGATCAGGAGGACAAATAACGAGTAACTACTAGGGACCACAAATTTCTTTCTGATGGGATTAGAGTTCACCATAGTTAGATTGCAGGTATGTTTGCATGATTGTGGTCATACACACATATATACACACATACATATACAAGCACAAACTCATATTCACACTGCAAGAATTATCCCTATGTGAGCCCCAACACCAAGACCTCCCATGTTTATTTTTAATGAATATACTGAAAACCATTGATGCGCCACCTTCAAGTGTGAACTGTGAGTTATATAACACTGTTTAAAGAAAAAAGCCATCAATATCCAACTGTTAAAATGATGTATAGCTTTGCTCAGCTTAGCCTGTGGGAACATGCTGCAGCATCATGTCCAGGTGAAAAGGTCCAATTGTAGGGCTGGTGTGATAGCTCAGTGGGTAAGAGCACTGACTGCTCTTCCAGAAAACCTGGGTTCAATTCCCAGAACCCATATGGCAGCTCACAACGTCTGTAACTCCAGTTCCTGGGGTTCTGACACTCTCATGTAGACATACATAAAGGCAAAACACCAATGCACATGTAATAAAAATATTTTTTTTAAAGTTTCAGTTGTATCACTGCTGGTCACAATACACCAAGAACTTCCTGGTGAATGCTTAGAGATACTTTCTCTTGAAAACAATTCAAAGCAAGAAAGGGTTACAACATCTACTTAATGTCATCTATTATCATAGCCAGCATATCCATCCATCTGTTTGTCCTTTAAAGGTAATGGGGACAGGTGACACCCAGTGATGATAATTTAAGTCTTTGAGGTTAAACAAAGCTTTGAAGGATTGGTTAAAAATTTCACTGTAGGGGCTGGAAAGCTGGCTCAGCAATTAGGAGCATTTGCTTTTCTTCCAGAGGACCCAGGTTCAGTTTCCAGCATCCACTCATCTATCTCACAATCACCTGGAGTCCATCTCCAAAGGATCTGACACTGCCTTCTGGCCTCTGGTCATCCACACACATGTGATATTCACTCACTCAGTCACACACACACACACACACACACACACACACACACACACAAATTTAAAAAAATAACAGAAATAAATGTTTAACAAATTTTCTCTATATTATGATGTTTGTTTTCTTTGTGTTATAAAAGTTTTACCCTCCCTCCCTCCCTCCATCTCCCTACTGTTGCTTTTACAGACTTGTGCCTCCACACCGTGTTTGTGCAGTGCTAAGGGACTGAACCCAGGACTTCATGCCTGCTAGGCAAACTCTCTTTCAACTGAGCCTCAGCCAAGCATTTGTCTTAAAGGGAGAACAGTAACAACAAGAATTGCTCAGAATTGTCTGAGTGACAGAAAGGGAAGATCACCCAACTCTGAGCCCCAATCCTCTGAAGCAATTAGAAGGGTGAGACAGACATTCACTGGAGGACACAGCTACATGCAGAGCGACCTGCAGCTACAGGTCAGGAAGAAGGTAGCAGCCTGCTCTGCTTCAGATAGCTAAGGTTCCAATGAGTGGAGCCTGTGTTGGAAAGGGTATTAAATACTTTTCAGGAAGAAGGGAGGAAAACAGGTTTCACTATGTAGCCCTGGATGGGCTGGAATTCTATGTGAACCAGGCTTGCCTCGAACTCACAGAGATTTACTTGACTCTATCTCACAGGTGTTGTAATTAAAGGCATGTGCCACCATGCCCTGCTAAACACACACACGCACACACAAAATCTGGGGCTGAAGGATATGACACGGTGGGTTAGAGCAGTGGCTGCTCATGTCTATATCCCCAGTGTGTGTGTGTGTTTATGAGTGTGTATGGCTGAGACAGGAGGATTTCTGGGTTCTTGTTGCCTGCCAGTCCATCCTAAAAACATCAGTTTCCTGCAACAATTCCACAAAACAAGAAAGTACTTACACAACTCTCAACATCTGAACCTTCCTCCCACCCACTCCTTCCTCACAAAGGCCCCACAGATGGGTTCTGAGAACTGATCTTCCTCATCCACTCCAGCACCCAAGGTCACCCTTTCTCGTGTCATTGGTTAAACTCCTATCCTCTGCATTCCCCATGCTCTCCCACACCTGTAATTGACAGAAGCCAGCACTAGATGGAGCAGACACGACAGATGGAAAATGATGAAGATGAGGAGAGCCCTGCAGTGTCCCCTACTATGGACCACAGTTACCGGGATGTAGTGACCCATCCCAGAGCCCTTCAGATCCTTACAGAAACACCAGTATCTACTCCTAAGTGATTTGGGAAGAAGTCCAGCATCTATGAAAAATGTCTTCCTTTGACCCTCAATAAAGCTGGCAGAGGGCAGTGACATCACAGCACATTGTTGGTGACAGGGACACTTACCTTAGCATTCTGCACACCTTCTTCCACTAGCCGGATTTTCAGGCCTTCTGGGGACACCAGCACATAGTCCAGTGTCTGCGGTTTCTGTGGCGTTTTCCCAGGTGGCACTAATTCTAACACTCTTAAACTGGACTGGAAAGCTGTTGGGGAGGGGGCAGCTTTATATGTAGTTTCTACAGCTTCAGCAAAGGCCCCTGCAACCTTTGCAGATATGTCCACCAGATAAATCTTTTTCAAGGTGCGCCTGTCTGGCTGGCGTTGGAAGTTGTCTTTGATGGCAGAAACAATGGTGGCCACACACTGGTCTAAGGGAAAGTCAAAATTTCCAGAGCTGATAGCTGGCATGGCTATGGATTGACACTTGACCTCCTCAGCTAAGGTGAGACTTCGTTCCACAGCTCTCTTCAACAGGCTCACGCACTCCTGGGCCTTATTTCCGTCCCACCGAGGCCCTACTGCGTGGATGACATGATGGCAAGGGAGTTTGCCTGGTTTTGAGATAACGGCATTGCCAGTTAGGACCAGGCCACCATTTCTCACTATTTTGTCACATTCTGCTTGAAGTTCAGGGCCAGCTGCATTTGAAAGAGCGAGGGCCAGACCATCAATGTGTTTCAGATGCTCGTTTGCTGCATTCACGACCACATCAGCAGGAAACCGAGCCAGATCTCCCTGCTGTACAATCAGCGTGACTCCAGGGGCTATGTCCTTCTGTAAGAGGCACTTCTGCCCTTTAAGGCTGCCTTTGTCCTTCTCTGTTCCCTCCTGGAGCTCAATGACGCATCCATACAGGCGGTTGATCTCACTTTTGTAATAGGATGCTTTGTCCTGGAAGAAATGCCTAGCACCAGGCTTATCAATCTGGAACCTATTAATGCAGACTGAATCCCAGATTTGCTTGACCATGTCCTGGCACTCTAGAACTTTACTCTTGGGTCCAGTTAGTAAAATGCCTTTTGGTTCATCTTCCAGAATAAAACTTGCCTGCACATTTGCCTCCCTTATGTTTGGCCAGAATAACTTCTTGTCTGCCCTCAAATACTCAATAATCAAGAATGGTTCAATTTCTACCAGTCTTTCAATATTCATGGTGTTTTCTAAGAACTCAGAAAGCTGACTATAGACTTCATTTACTTCTTTCACACAGCCTGCAATGATGACCTCCGCTGGGGTTTCTGAAGTTAATTCATCCTTTATCATGATGCTTGCAGTGGAAGAGTGTCTCTTTTGTAGAGGGTGAATTTTCTTTTTCCAAGCATTGCCTCTAAAAACTTCCTTGTCTTCAACTTCAATGATTTTATAACTCAAGGCATCAAGCATTTTCTTCTCTGCTTCTGCCAGTGCTCTGAAAGAACAGGCCATCAAGAGAAGAGCTGTACCATTCAGTTCATATGTGGCAAGAATTTTCTGTGCTTCAAAAAGAGTCTTGGAGAATTCCTGACTGTCTATTTGCTGCAGAAACATGAAGACTTCAGAAGGAATCGGGACGTCTTTCTGAGCCATGGAATACATTTTTTTCTGGATGTCACACTTTACTTTATACGGATCTGCACGGGATCCCTTAAAGCATAGGTGCTGAGTGGCAGCATTGTAATGAATCTCCATCTTTGGATTCTCTTTCCTTAGATCATCCAGGAAACCACTGTGTTCCAAAAGAAAGTGTTTCCCTGGAGAAATGGCCAATTTCTCCTTCAGATTCTGCTCGTCCTGCTTTTCTACCCTAACTACATTTGTTGTTTCCAGAAGTTTTGGGGCAGGGTGCTGCTGTCGGTTCGAGTGGTGACTGATACAATCTACAAAAAAATAAAACAAAATTAGAAATATCAAAGGCATCTCTATATAATATGGAAGAAATGGCTTGCCTGCAACCCAGAGGGGAGAACTAGTTAATTGTATTTTCTGCTACTGAGCTGTTCTTTAGCCATGGCCAACCCTCCTGAGCACACTCCTTGTAATGCCACTTCTCTCTCCATTTTCTTGAGACCCTTGATGCCACTATGGCAGCAGGTAGGAGCCCAAATTCACAGCCAGGCTACTGACTCCAAACACACATCCAAGCAGCACTTTCTGTTTTATTTTTATGTGTGGTGGTGGTGCATGCCTTTAACCCCAGCGCTTGGGAGGCAGAGACTGGGGGATCTTTGTGAGCTTGAGTTCAGCCTGGTCTACAAAGCTAGTTCCTGGACAGCTAAGGCAACACAAAGAAACTCTGTCTCAAAAAACGGAAGCCAAAAGAGCTAACAACAACAACAAGAACAAAAAACCAATTAGCCATGTTTTTAAAGTTCTATTTTGTACTTGTATATACAACTGCCTCTGTCTGCAATGCTCTCTTTGCCAATTCCCATGTCTGCAATGCTCTTGTCTATAGTGTTCTTCTCTGACATGGGAGAAGGAAGTGCTTTTGTTTTATTGTGATACCAAGGACAAATTAAACCATGCTACCCAAATAGGGCTATGTCTTATACCCCTACTCCTCTATTTTTTCAGTTGGTTCTATTTATCTTCAGGACTCAGCCTACCTATCTCTTTTAAATTATCACCTTGGATAGTGGGCCCGTCAAGTGCCAATCATTGTGCTGGTATCTGAGAAATGAGTACAAGTCCTTGCTTGTATATTACTAGGATGGTATGGATCTTGAACACAAATGAATTGACTTTTGGACTTCTAATAAGGGACAGATAAACGAGGACTCAGACTTGGAGCATATACGGCCTATATATGGTCTTTAATTTCAACACTAATGGTCGGGTTGCCAAATGGATAAGTGTTGAAATTACCAGGCTTGCTAAGGATAAAACAACTATATTTTATTTATTATAAGGGGAAAACCCGAGACGCAGGCCACGGGCGCAACACCGAGAGCAGATCGCCCCACTACAATTAATCAAAGAGGTAGGCCTTTTGTTGGCGAGATCCCTGGCAAACGGGGAGCCTGTTCCTGTTCCTGAAGACCCTTCTGAGGGGTGAGAGGGATCCAGGCCCCCAGCAGGAGCCAGAAAACAGAGCAAGGGCATTTTGTAAGAGGAGCCTCTGGCCAGCAGGGAAACCTGATCTGGTTTTAAAAGACCCATTAGATAGCATCGATAGGAGGAGATGGGCAGACGCCAAGGCAAGAATTCACCTAATAATCTGAAAAACAACATGAAAACACCAGAACCCAATGATCTTATAGAAGGACTTGAACACCCTAACAAAGAGAACGTGGAAAAAATTGACTTTATGAAAGCAATAGAGTCCTTTAAACAACATGTAAAAAACGCCCTTATAGAAATGGATGGGAAGTATAACAAAAAGTTTGAAGAAATGAGTAAATACGTACATGGTACCCTGGGAAACCAAGAAAAAATGATCAAACAGGTAATGGAAACAGTTCAAGAATTGAAAACTGAAGTGGAATCAAGGAAGAAAACACAAACTGAGGACCAGCTGGATATGGAAAATCTAGGTCAACGAGCAGAGTCTACAGAAACAAGCATAATCAATAGAATACAAGAAATAGAAGAAAGAATCTCAGATTCTGAGGACACCATAGAGAAAATAAAAGCACTAATCAAAGAAAACAGCAAAGCTATCAAATTCTCAACACAAAACATTCAGGAAATATGGGACACAATAAAAAGATCAAACCTAAGAATAATAGGAATAGAAGAAGGAGAAGAGTCACAGCTCAAAGGCCCAGAAAATATTTTTAACAAAATTATGGAAGAAAACTTTCCCAACATAAAGAAAGATATTCCTTTGAATATTCAAGAAGCATACAGAACACCAAACAGACTGGATCAAAGAAAAACATCCCCTCGCCATATAATAATCAAAACACAAAATATACTGGTTAAAGAAAGAATATTAAGAGCTGCAAAGGAAAAAGGGCAAGTAACTTATAAAGGAAAACCAATCAGACTTACACCTGACTTCTCTATGGAAACTATGAAAGCCAGAAAGTCCTGGATAGAGGTAGTGTAGAAACTAAGAGACCATGGATGCAAACCCAAACTACTATACCCAGCCAAGCTATTGTTCACTATCAATGGAGAAAACAAGACATTCCAGGATGAGAACAAGTTTAAACAATACGTAGCCACAAATCCAGTTCTACAGAAAGTAATAGAAGGAAAATCGCAACCCAAGGAATCCAACATTGCCAACAGTGCCTACAATAACTCAGGCATCTAGCAACCCTTCACCAGCACAACTCAAATAAGGGAGACACACAAACTCTACTATCAAAAACAATAAGAATAACCGGAGTAAACAACCACTGGTCATTAATATCACTTAATATTAATGGTCTCAATTCAGCTATAAAAAGGCACAGGCTAAGAGTGTGGATACGAAAACAGGATCCAACATTCTCCTGTTTACAAGAAACACATCTCAACCACAAAGACAGACATCTACTCAGAAGAGATTGAGATGGACATCTTATACTCATAACAGGAACAATTCATCAGGATGACGTCTCAATCCTGAATATCTACGCCACTAATATAAAAGCACCCAATTATGTCAAAGAAATATTACTAGAACTCAAGGCAGACATCAAACCACACACACTAGTAGTAGGAGACTTCAACACACCTCTCTCTCCAATGGACAGGTCAATTAGACAGAAACCTAATAGAGAATTATTGGAGGTAATGAAGCAAATGGACTTAACAGACATCTATAGAACACTCCACCCAAATAGGAAAGAATATACCTTCTTCTCTGCAGCTCATGGAATCTTCTCGAAAATTGACCACATACTTGATAACAAAGCAAACCTCCACAGATACAAAAAAAAAATCAGTGTCCACCTGTGTCTTATCAGATCACCACGGATTAAAGTTAGAAGGCAACAACAATGCTACCCCCAGAAAGCCGACAAACTCATGGAAACTGAACAGTCAACTACTGAACCACACCTGGGTCAAGGAAGAAATTAAGAAAGAAATTAAAGTCTTCCTTGAATTTAATGAAAATAAAGAGACAACATACTCAAACCTATGGGACACGATGAAAGCAGTGCTAAGAGGAAAGTTCATAGCACTAAGTGCCCACTTAAAGAAAACGGAGAATGCATACATTGGGGACTTAAAAACACACCTGAAAGCTCTAGAAAAAAAAAAGAAGCAGACGCGCCCAGGAGGAGTAGAAGACTGGAAATAATCAAACTGAGGGCAGAAATCAACAAAATAGAAACACAGAAAACAGTCCAAAGAATCAATGAAACAAAAAGTTGGTTCTTGGAGAAAATCAACAAGATCGACAAAACTCTATCCAAACTAATTAAACAACAAGGAGAGAACACACAGATAAATAAGATCAGAAATGAAAAGGGGGACATAACCACAGACACAGAGAAAATTCAGAGAATCATTAGATCTTACTACAAAAGCCTGTATGCTACAAAACTGGAAAATGCAAAATAAAAGGACAATTTCTTAGATAAGTACCATACACCAAAGCTAAACCAAGACCAGGTGAACGATATAAATAGACATGTTAGTCACAAAGAGCTAGAAACTGTTATCAAAAATCTCCCTTCCAAAAAAAGCCCAGGACCAGATGGTTTCAATGCAGAATTCTACCAGAATTTCCAAGAAGAGCTAATACCTATACTCCTTAATGTATTTCACAATATAGAAACAGAAGAGGCATTGCTAAATTCCTTTTATGAAGCTACAGTTACCCTGATACGAAAACCACACAAAGACCCAACCAAGAAAGAGAATTACAGGCCTATCTCACTCATGAATATCGATGCAAAAATTCTCAATAAAATACTGGCAAACCGAATCCACGAACACATTAGAAAAATTATCCATTATGATCAAGTAGGCTTCATCCCAGAGATGCAGGGCTGGTTCAACATACGAAAATCTATCAATGTAATCCACCATATTAATAAACTGAAAGAAAAAAGCTATATGATCATTTCATGAGATGCTGAAAAAGCATTCGACAAAATTCAATACCCCATTATGATAAAGGTCTTGGAGAGATTAGGGATACAAGGGTCATAACTAAATATAAAAAAAGCTATTTACAGCAAGCCGACAGCTAACATTAAATTAAACAGAGAAAAACTCAAAGCCATCCCACTAAAATCAGGAACACGACAAGGATGTTCACTCTCTCCATACCTCTTCAATATAGTGCTTGAAGTTCTAGCAATAGCAATAAGACAACATAAGGGGATCAAGGGGATTAGTAATGGAAAGGAAGAAGTTAAACTTTCGTTATTTGCAGATGATATTATAGTATACATAAGCAACCCCAAAAACTCTACCAAAGAACTCCTACAGCTGATAAACACCTTTAGTAATGTGGCAGGATACAATATCAACTCCAAAAAATCAGTTACGTTCCTGTACACTAAGGATAAGGAAACAGAGAGGGAAATCAGAGAAGCATCACCTTTCACGATAGCCATAAATAGCATAAAATATCTTGGGGTTACTCTTACCAAGGATGTGAAGAATCTATTTGACAAGAACTTTAAGTTTTTGAAGAAAGAAATTGAAGAGGACACCAGAAAATGGAAGGATCTCCTTTACTCTTGGATTGGGAGGATCAACATAGTAAAAATGGCAATTCTACCAGAAGCAATCTATAGATTCAATGGAATCCCCATCAAAATCCCATCAAAATTCTTCAGAGATCTGGAGAAGACAATAATCAACTTTATATGGAAAAACAAAAAACCCAGGATAGCCAAAACAATCTTATACAATAAAGGATCTTCTGGAGGCATTACCATCCCTGACTTCAAACTCTATTACAGAGCTACAGTATTGAAAACAGCTT